CCAAAAGTGCCATTTTCTGCTGATATGTTTTGGCTGCCGAAATTTCTGTGCATCCCTAGTTATTTCTATGATTACGTCTCTGCTAAATTTAAAATTAGTATGCATGTGGCGAAATATATATTCCTTCTGTGTGGAATCCTTTTGTGTGGTGAAAGTAAAACAGTCATCTAGGCATCTGCGCCACCCCTTCTGCTACCAAAATGCACTGCAGAAGTGTTAAAATGGCACCCAAAACGTTATTTGATCACAGTAATAGATAAGTCTGTGATGTTAAAATAATACTTGCTTTACACATGTTAAACTGCATGTGCATTCATGATTCCAGCTTTTTTGTATTGCATGTTTCAGCAAACAAAATAAAGAGTGATAAAATAACAAAAGATACATTAACTTTCACTCTCATAACACTGAGCTTTGTGAATCGGCCCCATCGTCAAGTTTGTCAAATGTGGTGATTGAAATAAGTTTGGACTGTGGGTATGCGGTTACAGCACAGTGCATAAGTAGAAAATCACATTGGGATGAAAACCCCCTGCTGTCTGGTGTTCAGGAGGTTATACTTCTGCCTCCTAAACGCCATTCATCCTATTAAAAGGCATCCACTGCGGATCGCTTTTCAGAGGGTGGTGGAGACTGCAACAAGGCCTAAACGCCATGTCTTTTATACAAGCTGATCACTATGAACAATCATATTACCCTTTGTTGCATATTGAATAGATTATATTCTTTACGTGGGACTTTTTACTGCCTATATGATGGTCACTTCTTGTATGATCTGCTGTTTGGCTTAAAAGAAGAACTGAGCCCAAAACTTTTTTTAGGTTTTGGATAGAGTATGGGAGGTTTATAACCCGTCAGTTTTTTTGCCATCTTTGTTACATTGGGCAAATTTCCCTTCCAGCAGGAATTCTATTTTATTACAGGTATTTACAGAACACCGACAATTTACATAGTTGCATATTCATATCAGTCCCTGCTTACCATCTAAGGTCCCTATCTCACATGCATACATAGAGGGCCAATTTAGACAGGAGCCAATTAACCTTCCAGCATGTCTTTGAAATGTGGGAGGAAACCGGAGTATATGCAGGAAACACACACAAGCACAGGGAGAACATGCAAACTCCTTGCAGATAGTGACTTGGCTGGGATTCAAACTAGGGACCACCTGTGCTGCAAGGCAGAAGCGCTAACCACTACGCTACTGTTCTTCCTTCAAAGTTATGAAAATCCTTGGCGGTCAGCAGATAGACCATGTTATCATGCGGGAGGTGTTAACATTTTGTGAAAAACTAAAGTGTTGGATTGCACAAAATCTAGAGCTTACAGAAAAAAATAACTTCAGATTTGAATTCAGCACACTCAGATTAGGCAAGAACAAGTGCTAGTATCAATGCAACAAAAACTTTTTTCCCCAGTGTAATAGGCACGAGGAGAAATGGAGAGGGTGAATCTACCTAACGGGGACGCAGACAGCAATACAAACCCAACAGGTTAATCCCTCTCCACTCAATCCAAAAGTAAGTAAAAAAAGTTTTGGAGTTGCACTTTAAGATATGTTTGTATAGTTTTGTTGTATTAGTTCTACACTGAGGTATTACATGTGATCATCTTAATAAACCATGGGGTCTATTCACGAAGCAGCCGAAGGTCGTTCCCTTGACGCGTTTCGTCTCTTGACTTTATCATACTTTTGATAGTCAAGAGATGAAATGCGTCAAGGGAACAACCTGCCTTTGCCTCCTACAGCTGAGGACTCTCTCTGTTTTAATACGATTTTAAACCCACAATCTTGTAAGTGCAATTTTCTGTGTGTCTTGGATGAATAAACATTTTTTACTGCACTTAGGCGCCCTCCCTTTTCTCTCTGTATTTATCTCCTTTTGAGACATCGCAGGGGATACCGCCGCTACAACGGTGGGGTGATCTGATAGAAAGGGAAACAGTGAGCTACGCCCGGCCTGCCCATCTATGCAGGATTGATGCAGCGGCCGAACAGTATATAAAAAAGATCGGTTTTGTGGTAAACGAGGTTCACTGGGATTACAACCAAGTAGAATTCTTTGGACAATTGATGCCATAAATCAAAGGAAAGTGAATGTATTTTCTTTTTAAGAAACACTTGCTGAGTTTAAGGACGGACATATTGTATCAGTAACGATACTGTTATTATGATAATTTAGCCACGACATTTGGCTTTGCACCTGGCACTTGCCACTTATATGTTTAGCACATGCTTAAATTGATAATCTTATACAATTTGTATCATTTGGAGTGAATCATGGATCTGCACTATTAAGTATGCTTATCAACAGGATTTTGCTGTTGGATTACAGAGTGTAAGCTCAGATTTTGCTTCACAGTTATTTTGTTTTTCGCCGGCATTTTAGTATGAGGTGAAATTCACTCACTATTTTAGAGATTTTTGGTTCACTCACTATTTTTAGAGATTTGTTGTTCACATTTAGACTGAGTGCAACATATTCAGCACGCTCATACGCGGTTATAATACCACATATTGTTGCAGCTGGTCCACTGTTTGGTTTAAAACACATTTATTACTCTTTAGCGCAGCTATCGTCATCCATTCTCCTTTATTTTAGAGGCTGTGCACACCTGTGCCATCAGCATGTGCTGGCCACTCAAATTCTGGACATAGGAATGGAGATAACACAGTAGCATTGCTACGCACTGCCACAGTGGTCATATTGTTACAAAGCACTGCTGCTTGATGAGCGGTAACCCTTTCTTGTGACATAAGTAAGAGCAGTATGTAGGTTAATATTGCTGACCTTCTGAAAATGTTTGTTGCCAGGCTCTCATTCTAATCTTCAGGCTTCACTACTTTCAGTCACTAGTCTTGCAATGTAGCAATGCATGTTGCAGCTCCATGACTCAAAGTGATGACATTTACGGATCAACCTGACAACAAGGCAGCCAACTTTTCCAGAAGGGGGTCAACAGCTGCAAAATGTATGTTTCTGTTAGGACAGGTTTTCTTATAACTTTTCATTAATATTAGCTGAACACATTCAAGTCATAAGAAAGTCCTAGGCCCGGTTCACACCTGGCCTAGGAACGTGCTGCGTTTTGTAGCACGTTCCTACGCTCTGCAAAACGCTCAAACACCGAAATCCCATTATTTCCTATGGGTATGGTTCACACCTGGGCGTATTACAGGCCGTATGAACGTGCTACAAAACGCCCTACGCCCAAAGAAGTACATGAGCTTCTTTGGGGCGTTTATCTCGCGCATTTCCATTGGAATACAGCCAAGTAGCCCTCGGAAACACGTGTTTTTTACCGCGAATTGCGCAAGAAACACGCGGCACCAAACACGCATATTCGATAGCCTAGGTGTGAACCCAGCCTAAAGGGTTTTTAAGCTTTTTCAAATGCTGATTAAATCACTTACAATGGATGTTTCTCCTTGATGTTTAAAAGTTTTAGTTTCCTGCAGAATAATCAGCTGTTCCCTTAGCACTGGTCCTGATATCCTGTTTTAGGGTGGCTCCTTTCCCTTGCAGGGTCATATGGAGCCACCCTTGTGTGTGCTAGTAAGCTGCATCTTTACAAACACAACGCAATAAAGGGTACGCTGGCACTCCAAAAATCCTAAAGGTCAAGTCCTCTTTATTGGCCTGGCAGAAAAGGTTTCACAGTGTAGAACAATGTTTGGGAGCACAATCAGGTTCCTTCCTCAGGCAAACATTGTCACAATGTTTGCCTGAGGAACGAATTTGATTCAATGCAGCCATTTCATAAATCTGCTACATATTGAATGTACTGAATACACCTTGCAGCATGTGCATGTAAATGCTAAGCAAAGATAACCATGCGTCAGAAATATCTACTAATAATCAGCTGCAAAGCACTATGTGCCGAGCTAAAAACAAATTATTCCGTGCATAAGACTATACTTTTTCTTAAAAATATTTACCTAAAAATCGAGGGGCGTCTTATACACGGGGGGCCGAGAGGAGAACCGCGGTTGCGAAACTGCCGATACCTCTGCAAACTAGCCTCACGAGTGAAACTTCCGATTGCAGAGACAAGCTAACAGGTTTCCTCCAATCATGAGCCTTATGTACCCAACGTCAGCTGATGCTGTGGAACGCATGTAGCCAGTGCCCAGATGCAACAGGGAGCCCATAAAAATGTCAGAAAACAAATAAGTAAATACCGCTACCAGTAATTGATTTCTGAATTTTGGGTAAGAAAAGTGGGGGGCATCCTATAGATGGGGGCGTCTTATAGTGCAAAAAATGAATAAAGTGCAAAATAATGTGTCAATTGTTCAAATATCCATTGTTCAGTGAGACATATTATTCACATCACAACAAATCATGGAAAGTTAATAAACTTTGTGTATTCAATCAAGTGTTCCAGAATACGATATCCACACCAAAATAATAAACGGGGGGGGGGAAACACCCCCACACTAGGAGGTAATGTCATTTTCTGTGTTTCCCATGCAAATTTTTTACGGCTCACCTTAATATAAGACCCAAGTAACAGGTTTCTCCACGCAGGTCCCTTTAATTAGGGGTGGGATGCCCACATTCAGGAATAAATCACTGTTTCAACGTGTCCTCTCACCATGATCAGAAGTTGTATATGGAAGGAAATAAACATACCATAGTGCGTACCGTATATACAAAAAGCGCTTTATTAAAATGTTACTCACAAAAACAATCCATCCATCGGCATTAAGAAATCTAAAACAGATCCTGGCAGTCTCGGTTTTTTTTTCCCCCAATCCCTCGGCTCTGCTTACTCCAGCATCGGGTATCTCCGCCCTACGTACATTACGTCGTACGAACACGGGACTTCAGCCCCTGATGAAGTCACATGTTTGTATGACATAACATACGTAGGGCGGAGGTTTACTGATCTCCCAATCCTACGAGATCCTGTCTTTTTTCTTTTACATCAGAATTCCATCCTTTTGAAGACCTATAAACGTTTGGTGATCATTCCTTGTAAAGCTTCTACCATTCTCACCTCTCCAGCGTCCCAGACACTAAGGGTGGCTCCGCCCCTAGTCCGCCCACATCATGCCCCTCCTTCATCCTCAGCTTAAGCTGCAAATCTTCACTTGTCCGGCGTACCTGCAATGAATGCAGACACTGGACAAGCTCTGCGAACCTCTGCGCCTCCATCTTGATTGAGAGTCTGCTCATTGACTCCCAGGACTGCCTGTCTCCTCCAAGGACATTCCTGTGCCCAGGACGCTTTAGCCCTGCCTCACACATGGCCACTGCTGATCAGAGAGACCAGCCACTGCTACCAGCATTCTGAGCATTCCTTGGAAGTTCTGCCTCCCAGACTAAGAGTGTCGTTTGCACAGCTAACAGCATGTATTTCCTATCAAAGCGGATCCAATTCTAACCACTGTATTGACTGCTACTTCTGTGATGTGAAGTTAACATTACAAATTACCATATCGGATCCAATTCTAACCACTGCCATTGACTGCTACTTCTGTGATGTGAAGTTACCATAGCGGATCTAATTCAAACCACTCATATTGACTGCTACTTCTGTGATGTGAAGTTAACATTATGAATTACCATAGCGTATCTAAATGTAATAACTGCTATTGACTGCTACTTCTCTGATGTGAAGTAAACTTTACAATTCAAAGAGCTTTTTGGCCTTGTTTAGATTGTCATCCGCAGCTGAGTTCCATAGCGATCATTAGAGGTATTGCATTCCTATGGTTAATGCATGCCTATGCGTGCATACCTGCCATTTGGAGGCGTCCTGATCCCCCGACAATTTGGCGCTGGAGAATCCAAGACATTTACCTCATGGAGGACCTTACTCGCCACTACCTGACACCAATCTGATATATTTTGAAACACATGGTTTTATTGGATGGAGTTTACTCTGTCCCACAAATACTGTTTATTTCTAGTGAGCTTTGCTGATTGAGCCTGCAGCTTTAGTGTCCCACTCCCCCTTTTGCCTCTCTTCCCCTTTCTCTACTTCTCCTTCTCGTGGTCCACTCTTTCTTCACACTTTACCCTTACAACTATTCTACGCCTATTCTATTGTAGGTGTTTTTTTCTGTTCTCAGAGGCACAGGGCATTGAGTACTCAGACTGGATGCCTCAGATCTACTCTACTAGATCCTTCTTTTGATTTTTTTGACCTAGGGTATATTATTATGTTATTATGGGATCAATATTTCCTATAGTCATGACTTGTATGTTTCTCCATTTATTCATTCCCTCGTGACTATGACTAGTTTGCATTTGTGTATGCTTTACCATGCAACTGAATACTCTGATTTAATATGTTTTGTTCTTTGACGATTCTTGTATCATTCTGTTTTGTACTTCTTTTTATGAAAAATCAAAATAAAAAGAAAATGTATTTAAAAAAATTTAAAAAATCATTTCAAAGCACCAGAACACAAATAGAAGTAAAAACTAAAGACTTTCTTCCTTTAAAACATGCCATGGTACATTGAAAACACATTAAAATGCATAAACAATCCTTTTTTTAAAAAAATTCTTTATTTTATAGGTTTTGTCAATACAATACAATAGAAAAGACATTAAAAAAAAAAAATAAGCATGTGTATAGAAAAAAAAATCAAAAAATAGCTCGAAAACAGGCAATGGTAAGGTAGATCTGAGTGTTTGAGTGTGTATTCTACCATCCTGTAGTTCATCACTTTCCTAGATAACTCTGTCCAAGCTGGTTAATGTCATAAACAATCCTTTTTACACGTCTTTTAATAAGGGACCTATTCTTTCTGTCAGGAAATGCGCAATAAAATGTGCTGGAAAAGGTGTCAACAGTGAAAAGAAACAAACATGCACAATTTATAAAACGGAGTTGGTTTTGATTTATGATGCTTAGAAAAAGTATTTGCCCTATTTGGAAGTTTATTTTGTTCTATTGTCATAGAACACTAAATCACAGTGTGTTCATTTTAGGTTTTTTTTTACACTAATTTTACATAAATAGATTATTTTGTGACAAAGCCAAAACAGATTTAATTTACATTAAATACAATGAAGCAGCACAAAATATGTGATTCATAATTATACAACCCTTGCAGGTCAATATTTAGAAGATGCACATTCAAGCAGCAAATTTGGCTTTCAGTCTATGTCAGGATCGTCTTTAATATTGATTGGACCCTGGAGCGCCCCCCCCCCCAATCCCCCCACCTGGCATGCACACACTATGTAGTATACAGCTGGGGCAGAGCAACACTAGGCAATGCCGATCGCATAGTAAACAGAACAATGGTGCTAGGGTTGCCACCTTTTCTTCAAGCGAAACCTGAACACTAGCACTGAGCTGCAGTTTTTTTGGGAGAATATACAGGAGAGAGCAAGGAGAAACAGCCTTGGGAGAGAGCAAGGAGAGAATGAGGAGAGACAGTCAGGAGAAAGACAGAGAGAGGAGAGGCAACCAGGACAAAGAGGAGAGACAGCCAGGAGAGAGAGAGGAGAGACTGCCAGGAAATAAAGAGGAGAGACAGCCATGAGAGAGTAAGGAGAAACAGCCAGGAGAAAAGACGAGGAGAGAGAGCCAGGAGAGAGAGCAAGGGGAGACAGCCAGGAGAAAGGGCAACGACAGCCAGGAGAGATATAGAGACAGTTAAAGGAGATAGAGAAGAAAGACAGCCAGGAAAAAGAGAGTGAGGAGAGACAGCCAGGAGAAAGAGCAAGAAGAGACAGCCAGGAGAGAGAGTGAGAAAAAAGCCAGGAGAGAGAGAGAGGAGAGACAGCCAGGAGAGAAAGCGAGGGGAGACAGCCCATGAAGAGCTTTGAAAGAACTTAAATGGTAAATGGGCCAAAGTATAAACTGTCAATGAGGGGGGGGGGAGAGGTGGGGAGAGAGAGAATGAACCATCAAAGTGCAGTCCTCATGTCATACTTAGTCTTGAGGAGACCCATCTTGTGTAAGGTGCGTGGCTGTTTACAAGCAGGAAAACCAGGGCCCTTGGTTGCCCCTGTCTGCCTGACAACTTGTGTCTGGGTTTCAAATGCCATGAAACCAGGACACAACATTCAAAACCTGGACTGTCCAGGTGAATCCCGAATAGGTGGCAACCCTAGGTGCCACATGTGTATCTTTTGTGGGCTCAAGAGGCAGCTGCTATGAGCCCCACAGCAATGACTTGACCCGGGGTAAACTGCCCCATTTGCCCCACATTAAATATAGCCCTGGTCTGTGTATATAGGTCTTGTGTATATAGGCCTCGTTGCACATCTGGACACTGCAATTTTTAAACCATTAATAAAACTACTCCAGCTCTGTCAGGTTGCATTGGGATTGTGAGGGAATATCCTTTTTCAGGTCCAGCTAAAAATTCTCTATTGGATTGAGATCTGGATTCTGACTTGGCCATTCTTGTGTAGTTTTTGGTTTATGATTAAGAGCACGGTCTTGCTGAAAGACAAATTATTTTCGAAGCCTTGGGTTTTCCTTCAAGATTTCCCAGTGTTTTACTGAGTTAATTTTACCCTTACAAGCCTCCTAAGGCCATCTGTAAAGAGACATCCTCTCAGCATGATGCTGCTGCTGCCACCACACTGTATAGTGGGAATGGTATATTTATGATGTGCAGTGTTTGGTTCAAGTCAAACACAGCATTTAGTCTGATGGCCAAATAGCTCATTTTTGGTATCACCATATACCATAGAACCTTTTTCCTGATGACTTGTGAAATCTCCCAGGTGCTTCTGGCAAATAGTAGGAGACATGTGATATGAGTTTTAGTTAGCAGTGACATTCTTTTTGTCAATCTTCCATAGCTGTAACAGGGTACTTTTTGTTTGCTGCCAACCTTTTGTTACTTTTCCTGGATTCCTCTTCTACTACTTCAGCTCTCACCTTTCACTGCCCTACGCTACATTTTCAATGTTGGGTCCATAGCAACATCCACTGCCATAGTATATAGTTAAAATTAAAGCTGATGCTCTCTCGCAGTTTCCTTCCCTCTGTACAGATCCTTGCAGAAGCACAGAGCATCCTGACACCTACCCAGGGCACACACAGGCTCCCAGAAACTTACCTGACGGTAAAATGTTAGTACCACCTGACCTAGGGTCTCAAGTTCTTCCGGAGGCACTCCAAAGACTATTTCCATAATTTCCTGTGACCTGTGGTGGCCCTCTTTGAGGAAAGATGTAACTATGCACGTTGGAGCCTGTGAAACATGCGGGCCTACTAATGCTGCTCAGCATTCCAACTAAACACTGTACTCTCTTATCCAGTGGCGGAACTACCGCCGGTGCGGGCGCACCAGGGCCTTAGCCTCAGGGGGGCCCAGCACAGCCCTCGCCTGTGCAGATGGTATCCAGGCAGGCACCCCGTCTCTGCGCCGGGAGTGTCGGATCATCCGTTCATGATCTGACACTCGCGACGTAGAGATGGGGGGACCGTCGGCCGCAGCGCAGCATGATAATGATAGTGAGTCCAATGCGCTGAATTGAGGTGGGGGGTGCCGGGGCTAGGCGCACGGCCGCTTCCGGATTAGGGTACCCAGATATTATGGGGCCCGCCGACCCCTGCAAGAAGTAAGCCGCGAGGCGCGAGCCAAGGACAGCAGTGAAAAATTGAAGACAGAGCAGGCAGCCAGGCACACATCGATCGGAGTGGACGTCTGTGAGGACTGAGGACACACTCCACAGCAAGCAGGAAACAGACACCTGTTTTTTCTGAATCCCCCACCAGCAAACAGCAGAAGACCAGCCAGAAGAGAGGTAAGTGTAAATAATTAATTAAAACAATTATTATTTGTAGCTGGTTTTTGTAGTGCCATTCTGCATTGCAACCATTGCAAGGCAACCATTCTATACACTTTTGGGGGTTTCGGTATCTCTTTTCTCTGCTTACCTCCTTCAGTCTAATGGTCAGACAGAAAGGATTAATCAGTCCTTAGTACTCCACCCCTAAACTCCTGGTACTCGTGGATGGTAAGGAGGAATATGAGGTGCAAAAGATTTTTGACTCTCGGTGGGTCAGGAACTCTCTCTTATACTTAGTCCATTGGAAGGGTTACGGTTCTGAGGAACGTTTCTGGGTCCCTGTGTTGTGCA